AGGTATAAATAATGCAAACTTTGAGTTGGATAAAACTTTAAGAGAGTAAACAAAAGATAATAGTTATAATAGTACATACTATTGTTATTAAATGAACAAACAAAAATTAAAGATTGAAATGTTAATTTAAATGAAATAATATAAGGTTTTTAGATTTTTACTTGACTTAATTGGCTTTTAATCGATTGAAAGAGAGCGCATAGTCGACTAAATCGACTATTCGATTTTTCAAAATCAATTAATTCCAAATTTCGTCTAGTCGACTTTTCGTCGATTTAGTCGAAGCTAATAACAACGCTATTACAAACCCCAGACAACACAACAAGGAATATTTCCTTAAAATTTTGAAGCAAAATATTTATTTGAAATTGAGAAAACATATTATATGTTTCGCAAAGTATTAAAAAAATAAAACAAAAAAATGCTCTTAAAGATTTTTAAATTAAAAAAATAATAAGTTTGTTATCATTTTAAAAATCATTTATTTTTCATCGCTCTTTGCAACTTTCTTCTTCTGATACCTGCTCTCGAAGGTTTTTTGGTCATATAACCTATTCGAATTGAATTATCTTTTATGTCCAAAAAACGACTCGTTTTTATCTACAACTTTTGAAAAACTTCATGTATCTCACTAGCTCCATCATTAAACTCTAAAACAGCAGATGATTCAGCTATTTCAAGAATATTTTAACTCGTATAAACATCTTTAGGAAATTTTTTCCAAATAAAATTGTTAATTGCTTTATTATTATTTTGCATCTGTCCATGCAAACATTTTGTGTTTGTCAATGCAAATTTTTAATTTGATTTACCTGTTTATTTGACTGCCACATGTGCCATCTATTTATATTTCAATATCAAAATTTATGTCCTTCTGTTTCATTACAAATATCTAAATTATAGAAAAGTGTTTCCTAAATACTCTTTTTCATTTCATAAATGCTGTTAAGCTTATGCCTTATGGTAGTACCATATTAGTTTTTCAAAGTATTTATAGCTTTATTAGTTAATTGTCCTATACCCATAATTTTTCCCCATCAGAGAATACATTCAGTTTCATTAGCGTAAATTTTGCAGTTGTGTTCCGATACGCTTTTGAACATATCCAACATATTCTTTTTTTTTTTTAAATAGTAACATTAGGTTCATATGGTTGCGGTTTTATTAACATCATTGTATTGAGAAGTATCTCCATCTCCTATATAAGATGTATAATTTAGTTTGCACTTTTCCACAGATCGCCGAAACATTTCAATAGCGCCGACAGATTCCATTGATCCTGAGAATTTTTCATTGTTAATGAAATAAATGTGATTATTTTGCCTGTTATTTATATAACCATGATCATTCTTTCTTTTATTCCAATATTAACAACCTTTGCATTGTTTTGATAAAGTAAAATGGTCAACACGTTTTTGATTATTTGCAGATATCAAAGTTACAACACCATTTATGGATGTGTGACTATTTTTTTGTCATGTACCATCAACAAAAACATGGCAATCAACAATACTTGTAATATGTTAAATGCTGCAAAAGAATTAGTAATAACACGTATTACTTTTTCAGCATTTAACATGCAACTGTTAGCTTCTTCAACAAAAGTCTTATTAAATAATTTTTTTTATTTAAATATATATATATTTTTTATTTTGTCATTGGTTTGATCATATTCATGCAATAATTAAATGATTCTTTAAAAGTATATCTTTTTCCTATTTCTCAAAAGCAACAACAATTTGTGTATTGACTTCTCCATTTCTTTTATTTATTACTGAAATTTTAAATAAGTCTATAATTTTATCTCAGTTTTTACAAAAATTTCAGGTTGTAAGCAAAATCCTTTTTTATTTCCAATGTTATCGTGGAAAATAAATTTATTTCCTAAATCAGGTGCAACAAATATACTTACTAAATAATCTTATTAATATAGAAAAGTTCAAAAAGTTATGTTCATGTAATCTTCATTGTTATTCTCACGTTTTGAGTAGTTTTCGTTATCGAAAAGAACTTTTTTGCACTTGTACAACTTGCGACTGGTCATGAAGGTAAACTGTTTTTTTTTTTATTGCTTGTTTATCATTACATGCGTAATGATTTCCTTTAAACTTGTGTTTACGTTTTCTAATTGTATTGCAAGCCGTTTTTTGTATAAAAGATTCAAAAGTTTGTATTAAAAGTGGCTTTTAGAAGCATTCAAATGTAATCAAAGTTGTAATTCTAATGTTAAAGCTCTGGAGTTTATCCTAAAGTAATTTGAGCACTTTTACAAACATTGGGCAAACAAGCTTCTTTAAAGATTCAAGTCATTTCCAAAAAGCTGACTTTAAAATTAAAAAAACCAACAACCAAACCCTTTGCTATGGCGGTAACTAGGAAAGCCTTAAAAACTATGGTCTGCTAAAATATTTAAATGACTTCTCCGTTAAATTTTGCGTAAAATTTAAATAAAAAAATTTTGAAATTACTTTGATTTTTGAAGGGATCCGCTAACTTAATT